ACTGAGAGCATTCATTTTTTTCTCACTGTCACCATTCCCTAAAGTATCTCTTTTCCCACCTCTTCACCAACTCCTTGCAACACGACTTATATTTTTCTCCCCTTCGCGAAAACCGAGTTTGGCTGTGCCTTTTTATTCTTTTCTCCAAATAACTTCCCTCTGTTTGCTCCTGCCTCTCGTAATGAATGCTGTGTGAAAGTTTGCACCTCTTTCTTTCCCACGATATGGATTTTGCTCTCTCAACCATGCAATGAACTTTTCTCTTCTTGAAGTACCAAACTTTTGAATTACACTTTTCCATAATTTACTGTTTCCATGCCCAGATTATTTCAGTCTGTCAACATATTCCCTCTTTTCAAATTTCACTGAATTTGTCCCATTTAACATGTGTTCCCCAGTTCCACAATCTAAACACTCACTCATTTGTCAGCAGACTGTACCAACCGTTGTTCTTTATTTACTGGGGAAATATTTAACACACTAAGGACATTGATGTGACTAAATACTACAACGCCCTCACGCATCAGATAAGCACAGATCACAAGTTTCTCAAGAAATTTTAATTTTTAAGAATCATGCAATTCATTAAAAAAGGGTTTTAAAATCCAGTAACTCTAATGAGAAAAGTGCTTGAAATGGCAGCTCAGTTAATTTAGATGGCAGTTCTATCAGAATAAAAAAAAAAGCATCTATATCTGTACCAAAAATAAGTAACCATTTTTTTTTGGAAAAAAAAAAAAGAGTTACATCTAGTTCATTTTAAACAATTTAATAAGAGTATTTCCAGCAATGCTACATACAAGAAACTATTTTAAATAACATTAATACAAACTAAGAAAAGTCAGAGAACCTGAAGTTAGAAAGATTTCATCTTTCTCCCACATAATAAAAGACATAATACATATGATTCATTCAAACAACTATATTATCATAACTGTAAGAAAAAGCTTAAATAAAAGTGTTTAAATGAGGGAGCTAAAAGTCAGGCATCTATATCCATGTGTAGGCACTGAATAGCTGGTTTAATTTTCAAAATTGCAAACACTTTCAACTTCCACAGAGTTTAAGCTGACCGACACCTATAGAAGTTTCCTTAACACTTACCACATAATTAATTTAATTCATTTGAGTAGGTCTGACTAACGTTTACAGGATTGCAACAATATGGATTTAGTTGTCTAATTTAAGTTTCAAAATCTAAAACTTTTGAACACAACATTTAAAATGTGTTGCTTACGTAATTATGCATTTAGGATGTATGTTATATTCTTTAAAAAACATATGCCATGAGGAACTCCCACTAGATTTTACAACAGAGTGATTAGTACATTTTTTCAAAGTGGCAATCAGAGTCCTCATGATCAATGTATTATTCAAAATACTGAGGTATACAAATAATAAAATAAATCATTCAGAAGCATTCATTTTCCTTATTGATCATATTACTTCCACAGTTTGAAAGCAGAAATCCTGTTAGCAAGAATGGAGAGTTCTGCTTATAGATGGATGACTCTGGAATTTTAGGAGTTTATGTAACTTCCTAAATGCCTAAAAAGGAAACATAATCTTTTATACCCCAACTATTAATCAGGGATCAGTATTTACATTTGAATCAACACCTCTAAATATTTCATTAAAATCAGGATACTGGCTATCACAACACTATTAATATCAGTTAGTTAAACATCTCTTCAGTTGCTAAATGAAAATACACTTTCCAACACAAGGAGTTTTAATAATTCACCCATTATTATTCATCAGGTCAGTGTCACATTATTTGCCTTTACTATGCTCTTGTTCTCATAAATCACAACAGCAAAATAATCAGGTTGCTCTTTTTAGCACAGAGAAAAGGCCTCTGTCCTGATACTTCTCAAGTGTCTAACTTTATAAATGCTGATGGTCATATTACTATATATAAAATAAAGCTCGTGACAAAACATTTAGACAATCAGGGATCAAGTCGCCATAACAGTTATTATTGATATCAAGTCTGCAATGGTCAGAGAGCTGCAGCGTTGAAATTGTAAGATAAAAATGTATCATCCACCAATCAGGTAATGTCTATGAAACAGAATTAATTTGAGGTCTACTAACCACTTCTGTGGTAAAATGAAAATATATCCCCACTTTGCTCCCAGGAGGAAAAGCAAAGCAAGCCACTGATTGGGTCTTACCCTCTTCTTTGTCACCACTGAATGAGCAATTATGAGATTGTTTTGGTTTGCAATACAGGCAAGGAACTGTTCTTTTAAAAGACCAGATTTTTTAAAAATTTAAAACTTGATAAAGGATTGACCAGCCTTTCCTTGTGTCTACTCAGATGTCTTCAACTAGCAGCAATCCACCTTGGTTTCAGAGTAAAGGTCTCAAGTACCCTTCTAGTTCCATCTGATTTTTTAAAAAAACAAACCAAACTAAAATCATTAAGGCTGTTTTATATCTGTGTCAACTTGATTTACTTATACCAAATGAAACAATCACTTTGAGGGCCTTCAAGTGGAATGATCAGTCTTGTCAATATTCTAGGAAAAGTCACTGTACCCATTGGAATAATTAGTCTCCGACATCGCCATCTCTGTCACCTATGAGCCACAGAAAATGAAAACCCATAGCTAACAAGGCAGTTCCAAGCAGATCTCCCAGTGCAGTAAGATAAGGGATAGAAAAACTGTCAGGATCTTTTCCTTTTTTCCAGAAGTGGTGCACCATCCAGTCAGCAATCCATAACAGAGTAAACACCTATGCAACATCAAACAAACAAAATCTGTATTAATATCACATAAGTTACATGGAAAGGAAGTCAATTGCCAACTTCATTGTCTCCTTAGTACGCAGCACTATTGTATACAACTGCTTTTGAAAAATATAAATAATTAATATGAATGAATTTCAGACTAAAACTCCTCACAACTAGAGACAGGGACACTTAGCCAACTTCTCCCAGTCAATCACATGCACAGGTAGAAGGACCATATTGAATCATTGATAGCATTCTTCACCCAGTCTATACTTAAGGACTTCTGAAAATGGCAAGAAAAAGCAAAAACTCCAACCAAATATGCAACTGCACTTCTCACAGAAGACATCATTTTGTACAGTGAGAGTATGTGGGGCTTCGAGATCATTCAGAACCAACTGACGTTGCCCCAGATGAAAACACTCAACCCAGGCATAACTCTTCTTTCCACATGTATAGAACTGACCTGAAATCAGACATGATATAAAGAATACTAGGTCAGATTAAGAACAGTTTCATCTGGGTGGCATGAACTGCAAAAAATGGCCTAGAAGCTACTTGTTGCCTGAAATACCAGCTTCAGCCCTTCTGTAATAAGGCACACCTTCAAGATACACTATGAAATTGTCACTGCAGGCTGAATTTGTCCCAAAGTAAAAGACTTCCTTCCCAACTGTGAATGTCTGAACGTTTGAGGGGTTTGATCTTAATATCAAAGGTATGCACAATCATTAATCCAATTTTAAAAAATAATTCTTTTAATGTCGCACAGCTGCATGATAAGAGATTCTGGTTCAGTGGAATCATGTGGTATGGCATGGCATAAGATGAATGGAGAAAGGACCACTAACTGAACTTCCATTTCTTATCTCTTCTAAGGAGCTGCTTAAGATGAAATAGACACTGTATTTTATGTATTTCTAGTTAATCAGATCTTTAGGAAAGGTAAACTTAAGACAGTTACTACCATAATTCATTTTTAAAAAGTCTACTATGTACATTTAAAAGAATATACAGTATCAAAAGTAGTAAAAGGTACAAAATTGGTATTTTATTTAGTAAATTATCAATTACTGGTATCAAAAGCATCTTTATAAATCATCTATTGAAATAAGATGGTTGCCAGACACTTCTCCACAAAAGTGGAGAAGTAAAATTAATGTCATATAAAAAATTGTGTTTTGTGTTGAAAAAGTTTCTCAATTAATCGTTGCTTTGCAGAAGTCTATGTTAAAATATAAGCCTGAATTTCTAATTAAAAAAAAAAAAAGAAAGGGAGGAGTATTTGCTTAATGAAAAATGCATGGCTTATTTATATAAACATATCTTCTGAAAAGGGAACTCTGTAGTCTAAGCTAATTATGCAAGCCCTAGGTGTGCTGACTGGAATCCAAACAAATATATTTAAAACAGATGTTTTCTTTGGAAGACTATCAGATTCTTTGAGTCGGCTCCTTCTTCTAGCAGAGACTAAAAGAGGTCTGTTTATAAAAGATACTGTACATTAACATCTCCTACAGGATGTGCACAGAAGACTCTGTAGCGCCTCACATCAACAATAGTTATGCATGTTCTATTAGAAGATGAGAGCATTCCTTCCAAGAATAATTTATAATGCATTTATATAACACAACCAATTAGATATGACATACACAGTCCAATTTAAATGACAGTATACATTTTTGGCTTTTAAAAATCATGACATGAAAATCTTTAATTTGTCTATGTATTTTCCACCCTAAAATAACTGACTTAGACTACTGTGAAAAGTGGGTAGTTTGGAAATAAGTTTTGAAAACCTTCCCAAATAATTATTTTTGCTATATTAACTTATGGGTGCATAACACATAACACAAATTATAACAAAACCGGCTTCTGCAAGTAATAGGAAAAAAGTTATATCATGTTATATTAACTGATGCTTATAACAGCATGTGATAGCAGTTGGGACATTGTGTTTACAGAATAAGTTACAAGACTGAAGTTCACCAGCCTTTATTGTGGTGAAGGAATAATGCTATCATCACGCATCTGCATGGCTACAAACTCACTAACATTTAAGAACTATACAGATCAGTCTTTGAAAATAGATACTTATTTGGCCACAGTAGTTGGTGTTGCAAGATAAAAGTCAATCAATGTGACTTACATCTTTAATGGGATTTTGCTTCTTATCAATGTTAAGAGGGGTGATCAAAGTCATCAATCAACTGTTATTTTGGGGAAAAAAAAAAAAGCAAAAGTCCTACCTATGAGTTTGCTGAATTTTTGAAAGTAAGACAGTCCTTGAATTCATAGTGATAAGAAAAGTCACTCACAAAGATCTGACAGATGTTAAAAAAAAAAAAAAAAAAGAAAGAAAAATCATACAAAAGAGACTTGTTACTTTAGTGGCACAACACTCCACATTTTCTGGGATTTATCAGTGACCTATACTTATTTCAGCAAAGTGACGCAGATGGCACAGCAGTACAAATACTGTGTACTTCTGCTCTGCACTTAGGCTATAAGGAAGAAAGCCTCCAGACTTCAAACTGAAAACCAGCTGGTTTTGAAAGAAAAAAAATAGAGGGATCAACATTACAGAAAAGCCTAATAAGATAGTAGGAAAATTATCTGTTTAGCATGAAATGCTGTACAAAAGTGATAAGAAAAGCTTGTAAATATATGCAGAACTTTTCAAGATGTGAGCTAGTATTTTTTAATTATTTAATATACATAGAAAGAGAACGATAAAGTATTTTTTTCAAAAAAAGAGATGAGTAGTAGAATTACAAAATCAGAGCCCTAGGAATTCTCACAGACTGAAGAATGTAATAATCCCAAGCTTTAAGAAAGGTAAAAAACCCCTAAATATCTAAACACATAAAAAGATCTGTCTAAGGAAAGGGAGACACTCTATAGATCAAGAAAAAAAAAAAAGCCCAGAGCAAGGACCACAAAAATACAGCCAGATATTTTGATATTTTAAAAGGAAGATCAGGTTAAGTCATTGCTCTCCTGGAAAAAAATACAATCAGAACGGAGGAAAATGAAACTAAAGACATTATCAATTTTAGACTGCATTTCTAAAAAGACCTATCAGTCACATTTTCAAAAGAGGTCCTTGGAAGAAAGAAGCAGTAGAATATAGTAATAGGAATGAAAGGAAGGGAGGGAGGGAGAGGCAGGAAAGAGCAAGAGGGAAGTCTTTATCAAACCCTAGTGATGAAGAATCTGAAAATAAGGAGTACAAGTATACATATCATTTTGTACAACAAAGGACAGAAACAGAGATTAATTCTCAATATTGAACTTTCTGATTCAAATTCTGAATATCAGATTGAAACTGAAATTGAATATGAATGCTTAAATAAGAGTGAGCCTTACTACTTAAAGCTCAAATCTTATGAATGCTAGATTAGAAATGGGAACATTATGCACTACAAAGCAGTCTTTTCCTTTGTTACTGAGCACAAAATTTACTTTCCTTCTGTGCAGGTCTTTAGATACAAATAACAAGGTTAGCTAAATAAAAGGTTTGGGGTATTTTGAATGTAGTAAGGACCCCTAAAAGCTATCTGCATTTTCTCATGAAATTAATTTCTCATTACTTCTGAAATGGGAAAAGAACGAAACTGTATTATTTAAAATAAAAAATACATAACTTCCTCCAAACATTCTTAATACTGTCTAAGCTCCCTATAGCCTAATTGATACATTGCAGGATGCTATTATATTTTTATTGTTTATTTCATCTGGGATGACCATATTTCATCAGTGAATGTGTGTCAAATTTACAATGATAAAAAGTATAACATTCGAGTGGATAATATTTGTAAAACAGGTTTGAATCTTTCATGTTTATATCAGTTTATACATTAGTTGCTGTGATTAGAATTCCAGCACCAGACTGGAAAGAGAAAGTTTAGCTTATATATTTGTATATGTTTTTTCACACAGGTATTGTCAAAATTCTAGTATTTAGCATACAGAATGAAGACCTTTTAGCAGTTTATTTAGCATGACTTGGACAGGGTATCCTGCATGTTATTTTAGACAGGATACACAGATGCAAACAAACTGTGGTAACCTCTTTTCAAATGTATTTTAATTCTGCTTCACTCTCAAGCTTATATTGACTCAAAATTAACCTTTAAAGTAACCATGACGAGATCTGGTAATTACTGCATAAGAACTCTTATAAATCCAGGGAATTCAAAGGCAAGTTTATTTATTTATTTTTTAAATTATGAGTGAAAAACCCAAGGACCTCTAAAACCTACTGTGTCCTGACTCTGATATCATTGTCACTAGATTTATGGTTTAGGTCTTCTTGTGGTTTTTGACCCTTCATTAAGTTAATTTTTAAATTATATATTACATTTCTCGATTTTAAATGGCTTTTGATGTCTTCATGTAAAACTAAGTAGTAACTGTAAAGGACTCATAATAGATCTACACTGAATTTACTTGCTGAATTGCCATTGTCTACAGCCAGAATTCTGTAGTCAGTGAACTCTCAGAGTAGGATCTACATATATTTTTCAAAAGAAATTTTTCTCCACTGTCTTCTCAGGTAGCGTATCTGGTGTGTATCATGTCCAGGGGAAACAAGTCACCATTTCCTCCAAACATAGAGAGATTTCCTTCAGCTGCAAAGAAACCAGCGAACAGCAAATTCTTTCTTGCTGTTGTTTGTGTTGTAGCTAAGTGGTATTAACTACGCTATGATATCCAAGTACCCAGACAGCATAGCATACATTTATGTAAGACTAAAACCTCGTCTAAGTAAAAAAGAGGATACCATTTTAACTGGAGCTGTTTCCATATCAATTTGATTATATTGATGTAATTTTTGGGGAAGGAACTTTTTTCTTATTCCACAGTTTGAATCCACATTCCTCAGACTGTCTGCTTGATTTTTTTGTAGCTTTGCCAGACACCCTGGCTTGACCAAGATAGTACTAATTTCAGGCTGTTTATCAGATGTCTGAAAGAGGAGTGCAACCCAGACAGTTAA